ATATATATATATATATATATATATATATATATATATATATATGGCAGTTATAAATCCTAGGCTCAAGAAATAATTTATTTCTCTATTGTCTACAAAGCAAACTAATTCCCTTACAAAGTCCACACCCACTGGGTCAGGAGGAAATTCCATCGTAATGAGATTCTAATTGTTTTGCACAGACACATCTTGCTGAACTATCCCCATCTCATCTCTCCAGGTATAACTCTTTACAGTTCAAAAGAAGACTTCTCCTTATCTCCTTCTTTTCCAAATCACTACCTCTGACCTCAAATATTATTTGAAAACTAGATTTTATGCCACAGTATAATCAGAAACTGACTCATCGGCAATTAGAACCTATTCTTTCCTTCAGGACAAAAAGATTTTAATATTCAAATCTCACAAGAAAGTAAAAAAAAAATGTTTTAATCTTCTAACAAATTTTTAAAAAGGGACAAAGAAAAGAGAATTATGTTTCTGTAATAAAATTCACATTCAGGCTAGACTAGACTGTAACTCACCTGAGAGCAGGGGTCAGACCTATTGAACGCACCTCTTCATATAGAGTGAGTTGATGAATGAATGAATGAATGAAAGTAGTTCTTTATCGATATGGACATAGGAAAAGCCCTAAGGTATCCTGATGGAAAAAGTTGGGGGGAAAGGCAATGTATTTTAGTTCAAAAGCTTACATTTTGTAATGAGAAAATCCATGTTCAAATTCCAGTTCTTGATGTTTCACTCATTTGGAGCCTTGTTTTCTGCAATTGTAGGTAAAATGGAAGTAAAATCTTTCAGAATTCTTGTGAAATTTAGAGATAATTTGTCTCAACTGCTTGATACATAAAAGTATTCACATATGGGTAGTTGTGATATTTGTTATTATTACTGTTTTGCTGTTGCTATTGTTTTACGTTCCCAACAGATCCTGTAGAGCTTGGAACATAGTTACTGCTCAGGAAAATGTTAACTATGGAAAGCTGAAGCTTCCTCATGGTTTCAGGGTCAGATAGTCTGGGTCTACTGAACATTAAACTTTAGCGTCTCACACTAAGAAACTGTAGTAGATAGAATAACTCCCCCTAAAAAAGATGTCTATGTTCCAATCCCCAGAATTTGGATATGTTACTTTATATGACAAAAAAAAAGGACTTCATGGGTATGACTAAGTTAAAGATCTTGAGATGGGGAGATTATCCTGGGGGACCCAATGTAATCACGAGACTCATAAAAGGGAGCAAGAGGGTCAAAGTTAGAGAGAGAGAAGGGAGGCAGATGCAGAGGTTGGAGTGACCTTGGAAGGTGGAAGTCCAGGCTGCTATCGCAGAATACCACAGACTTAAAAAACATAGATTTATAAATCTTCTGATATTCCAGGAACTGACTTCATGAGGGGAGAGAAAGACCAGCCGGAGTTGTGGCAGATTGCTGAGATTAGGTCCCTGCTATGGACAAGTACTAGTTTCCCAAGTACATTGACCGAGCATGAGAAGCCAACACCACGGGAAGTCATTCTGCGCCTACACTCCATGGGACATCTTCATCCTGTAATCCTTTTGATTTTATTAAATTACATCTTATACGGCTTGTTTTGGTATCACAGAAGACTTCAAGAAAGAAGAGACACGATGGTCCAGAGTACATGGGATAAGAGGCAAGAAAGTCAGTCAACGAGGGGATGGAGTAGGGCAGGTAGAGTAGCCAGCAGGACAGGAGAGAGCTGTGTGTAGGTGGTTCCTTGGAGAGGTTCTGCAGAGAAGAGGAGAAAGTGTCCAAATTCCATGGTGATTTGTATGGTCAATTCTTCCCAAAGGGAGAGATGCCAGTATTTCTTTGTCACTAGCTTGTTGAATATAACGAGAATCAGACATAGGCAACAGTGCAATAATAAGAAAACCAAGAATGTGCAGTATCCTGGAACCCAACCGAAGAAAGTCTAAAGGGATGATCATTCATGTCAAATGCTGGTGATAGGTCCGATGGGATGCAGCCTGAGTGGTAGCCTGAGATTTATAGCTGCTATATTTAAATAAAGCCAATTCATAATTAATATAAACATCTGTTTTATGCCCAGAGAGTGCTAGGCACTCAGGCACCTAATGAAGACCATAACTTTTAGTTGATATTTTTCCCCCTCTTAATTGTGACTGGGGGTGGCAATGAACCAAACTTTCACTTTCCCTTGTATTATTCACTCACTCCCACCCTATTACTCCTCACCTCATGGAGGATCTACTCCGATCGCTCTTTGCTTTTTTCCAAACAATTCCCTCACGTGTAATTTTCTACTTCGTGCTCCTCTGTCGTCACCCTTGTCCACCTAGCCATTCTTCAACCAAACTCAAGTGTCTCTTCCTCGACTGGAATAGCCCCCTTCTTTCTTTATTTTTGACTGACATTTATTAGAGGCAACTCTATGCTGGTACTGAGCTCTCATTTTCTATGCATGGTCTCATTTAATGCTCAAAACAACCCAAGGAGGAAGGTCGTGTTATTATTCCCATGTTACAGGAAAGGCACATTGAAGATAAACAATTTGCTTAAGGTTCCCTTACTAGGAAGTCGTAAGGCTAGGTTTACAATCCAGGTCTGTTGGCTGAATTCAGAACTGGGGATCTTAACTTCTATATCACCCTCCCCTCCCATTGTCCCCTTGTTCCCCTCCCTCCCCACTTCCTGCCCAGAGAGCCACTTGCTTCCTCTCCATGTACCTGAGCTCCTTCTTTCCTGGCAGTAGGGTACCTGTAGTTACTTCCTGTGTTGTTAGGCAGTTGAACACGTATCTGACTCACTGGACTCCGAACCTACACCTTTTCTCTTTTCCTCACTAGTGTATTCTCTGTGCATGGTGTAGGGTTGTATATATAGTAGGATCTACAGTAGGGCCTTAGTGTTTGTTGATATCTTTCCCTTCTCCAGAGAAGAAAAACCTTCTATGTATTCTAGACTTAATACTCAGCTTAACAGCAAAGTTTTTTGGTTGTCACATTAAAAACAAATATATTAATAAGAAGTTTCTTCCTAATTCTAATTTTACCACATAAGCTCCCCAAGGTGACATCATTTAACTGTTGTGTTTCTTTTTTTTAACTGGAGAGTTATGATAGAAAAAAGCAGAAGAAAACAGATTTTTGATGGGTATTTTAATGCAATTGATGCTGTTTTATAAAGAAGTGCTCATTTTCCAAAACCTGAGTGTTCAGAGTATGTGAAATAAAGCTGAATATTAAGGGAATGTTTTTCACATGTTTGCTTCCTATGTCATAGTAGATACACTACTAAAAGCATCAGTTCTATACTAGGATAGTGGTTTTTAAAGTAATGAAGAGAAAGGTGCTTGTATATTTTTGCTTCTCAGGCTGAGACCTCTAGTCCATTATTAAGACAGTCAGCATTTTAATGAAAACTTTATCAGGTGTTGGCAAGACAGGTCTGAACTCTGAGTCTTAAACCAAAGAATAAGTTATGCACATTTGTTTGCTAATATGTGAATCATGTTCATTTTTTTTTTTACATCTATCATGGTAAATAAACTACTTTGAAGTCCTGTAGACAGAAATGCCACCTCCCATCAGCCCTGCCTCCTGACTGGATCTTCAAAGCTGGTCTTACCCTAAAAGGTCTCTTCCTGCTGGCAGCCGCACGCTGTGAGATGGCCCTCCGTGCCCAGCAGGCACCAACTCTACCCGTGCAATGTCATGATGCTCAGGCCCTTTGTTTCAGGAGGTTTGCTATCTTACAGAAGTGAAAAATGCAATCAACCTTCACCACATGGACCCTGCAGGGAACGTTGCTGTGGATAGATGTGCTTTGCTTCTAGCAGGGTATTTACTCCCTGAAGTATTATATGTCAGTTTCAAAAGTAACTAATTTGAATAGAAGTCTTTCTCAACAGCTTTTTATGTTTTCTTCTTCTTGAACCAGTAATCAAATGTCACTTGAGATTTTCTTCATCACTTAGTATCACCCACATGGACATTTCTTAATGAGCTCTGTTGCAAGGATATGATGGTTCTGGGGTTTATTAAAATTGATAAGGATTTGGACCCTTGCACTAAACTTATAAACATTTTTTTTTTCCATTTAGCTCTTTTCTCATCATTTCCTCTGGACTCACTCTCTTCTGTGAATATAGAAGTCAACGACTGCAGATCTGAATTGCCTTGGATTTGGAAACAATTTACATCTATAGTAACCATTAATAAGTTGTGTGATATGGTAATAATTGTGATGTATGTGTGATGATAGTAAATACAGTTGAAGTGAGGCCAGCTATGGCCACCCAAGGATACGGTAACCGTGCCTTAGCGCCTTGATTGAGTGTGTTTTTAGCAGCTCGCAGCTGCTGTATTTTTTTTATTCCTGGTTTGCAATTATACTCCAAATATATAAGGTTGCCAAGCCGATGGGTTCCTTAACAGACCAGGTACTAAAGCAGTGAGCTCATTTCTCTCATTCCTGTACTATTATGTTCATCTGTAGAGTTCAAAACAGAGCTTGTACCATGTGGTGGGTAAGAGACTGGGCTCTGTAACCTGGCCTGGCAGCTTGCATATCCTTCCTCAACCACTTATCAGCTGTGTGACTTTAGGCAGGTTGTTTAACTTTTCTGTGCCACGATTGTCTTCTTATAAAATAAAGGTAATGAAAGTGCCTAACTAAGGGGCTATCGTGAAGAATAAATATGTGGCATCCATAGCGCCATGCTCGGTACATAGTAAGCATTCAGTGAATGTTGGCTTTTGTTAACATTGTTATGGCAAACCGGACCTGTAGATACTTGGTGTTTCATTGAATCACTACAGGTGCTCCATATACATGATCCATCTTTAATTCTACTTCCTGCAAAGACATTTTCCAAATGTAACAGACCCTGTCTTTAAAATACCAGGGGAACTTTGATCTGCTTTTCTTTTGGTGCTTATCTTGCTGTACCTGCCATTGCAGTTATGGAAAAAAGCTCAGAAGACAGCAAGAACCACTGTATTGATCACCAGGACCTAAAGCACCCAAGACCGATCAAATACTAGTTTTGAACTGACAATAGACATATATTTATATATCAGGCAGCTCTTTCACTCAACAGTCATATATCAATTACTTCTTGAGGAATATCCCCAATTAATAATATTCCCACAGAGGAACACTTGCCTTGAGGGTGAGTAATGTTTACCAGAAAAATAAAATTTTCCAAGTGCTTTTTTGGGCTGCTAATCTCAGCTATGCACATCAGTAGAAAAACCAACCACCTCAAAGAATGCGATTCAGTAATAGCAACAGGACTTTCCTCTCATGCCCAGACCTTTTGCTGGGAAAAGGAAAACCAATACCCCACAGGGGATCCTCCAGGTTGACTTCCTCCGGGGTTGCCCTGCTCTGCCAATGTGAGTGGACAGCCCAGATGGAACATGTTGAAACACCTGGATGCTCTTCCAACAACGTCAAGTTGAAGCCTGTGGAACATCTCTCTGATATAACTACCCTTTCACATACTCTCCCAGTTCCCTCAAGTGAAATGGGAGGAATGTGGATTAAAGGCATGACACCTGATCAGTGGTAACTAGTCTCTTTGGATCATTGGTTATAGGTTACAGTACCGGGCAGTTCACAGTCTATGAAAAGATTCATGGACTCCACTCAAAAATGTGTTATGACTAAAGAAGAAAAGTTGCTCTCCATAGGGTATATATTATGTGTGGTCACTTCTAAAGACAAAAATCATCTTTGAGGGAGGTTTAGAAAGAAAAAGAGAGATTCATGTTAGTTAGGAGGTGACCTGAAGAGAAGCATGACTGTCCTGAGGAGAGGGGGGAACTCGGCCTCGGGAGAAAGTACTACAGGCAGGACCCAAGTTTCCTGATTTGCAAATAAACTTACCACCACTTTTCCCCGCCCACTCCAACACCAGCACCCCCAGTTCCAGCTGCTCCACTGCCCTGCTTTACCTCTTCTGAGGGGGACTCTTTCCCCCTTTAACCTCCCTTAGCCTCTCCTTGCTGCAAGACAACCAGGCTAGACTGGACTTTTTACACCACCTTCTGGCAACACCTAAAAACGTTTTAAAAGGGTGTGTTTTTGTTTCTTTTATTCAGAAGTATTCCCAAAGGTTTCACTTAGCTCTTCCTTTCCTAATTAAATAAGCTTTAAAAAAGAAAAAAACATTTAAGATAACTAGAAATTGGTTTCATATTATTAAATAGTGTGACATATACTATTTTGTACTCTAGTAGCATAAGTTGTTGTTAAGGATCCTTTATTACCATTCTTATTTGTGTATTCTTAGTTTTGTGCTACTGATTAACAATGAACTTCTACGATGTAAGCTTCTTTTTTTCAGTTGAAAAAAGCAGAACTACCACTGAAACAATGAAGCAATAGTAATATGAAATATATGAAATAAAAATAATAAATAAAATTTTAATGTCAGGAAGGATGTAGGGACAGAATCATATTCTGGTCTTGGTGAGCTCTGTTTAGGGTTTCAGAACTTCATTCTCAGATGTCACTGAGAAGCACGAGATAATTGGCTGCACTTCTGCTTTCCCAAGCAAAGCCCTCCTCAAATCGTCTACAACAAACATAGACTGCTATTATTCCCCTCCCTTCCAATAAAATCTCTACAAATTATTGATATCTCTCAGACCCTCCTTTGTTCCCAAAGTTCAGTAACTTGGAAAATATATGGTGTGTCCTACTTAAAGACTAAAGCTTCCGTACAAGAGAACGGTTGAATTTGAAGAAGCCTCATTAGAGTGTTTGGATTGTTCAGGATAGAAGGGATGTGAACAAATAGCTAAAGTCATGGAGGTGTCCACGGATGAAAAGAAATGTCGACTTAAAAGAAAGTAACAAAAAAGAGGGTTTTAGATTTAGAAAGAAATTTCCAAACTCTCATTCATTGGCTGGAGAAATAAAGAGACATAACCAAGGTCATACATGGCTTACTGGTAGCCGTGTGGGACAAGAGCCAAGAATCTCTGATCTCCAGCTCGTTGGACCTTCCTACAACAGAGAAGGAGATTCGGGCCATGTTGAAGTAATGCCAGTGAAGCTAAACAGGACAGTGACAGCAGTGGTCCCCCCCTAAATCTAGACTTATCTGGATGCATTGTTCTGCATGCAATATACAGAATTCTATGTAGAAGAAGGGGAAGATCTAATCATAATTGGATGTACATTGAACCGCCTTGCCCACAGTTTTGGATAACTCCATGAATAAAGAGACAAGGCCTTTTATATCTTCTTCTTAAAGTTTGATATATATATGCAATGGAATATTACTCAGCCATAAAAAGAATGAAATATTGCCATTTGCAGCAACAGGATGGACCTAGAGATTATCCTACTAAGTGAAGTAAGTCAGATAAAGACAAATATTGTATGATATCACTTATATGTGGAATCTAAAAAAATAATACAAATGAATCTATTTACAAAACAGAAACAGACTCACAGACATAGAAAACAAACTTATGGTGACCAAAAGGGAAAGGGGGAGGATAAATTAGGGGTATAGGATTAACGGATACACACTACTGTACATAAAATGGACAAGCAACAAGGATTTACTGTATAATACAGGGAATAATATTCAATATTGTATACTAACCTATAATAGAAAATAATATATATATATACAACCGAATCACTTTGCTGTATATCCGAAACTAACACAATACTGTAAATCAACTATACTTCAATTAAAAAAAAGAAACAAGGGCTACTTTTGGACTTCTTGCCAATCACAGAAACAGATTTCAGCAGATTGTTACACTAAACGTTAATTAGGTGAATTCTGAAGCTGTTTTACTCTTGGACGTGTAGCAGCTGCAGACATGGTCCTCCAGTTTGCACAAGGAACCTCTGGTTCAGGCTTCAAATGAGGCAGCTGATGGGTAACATCCCTCTTGCATATCTCAGTTCCAGCAAAGCCAAACTTCTGTGTAACCGTTGTCTGTTCTAATCTCTCTCAGGCAAGGATTTCGATGAAAGTTCTCCTTCTGTAAATAGGAAAACATCACATCTGATTTTTATCATATTGAGCTAAGGAGAATTTCCTTCTTGTAATGGTTCTCTCATTAAAACTAGGACACTCTTAGTATTTTTCAAATGACTTTTGCATCTGCACTTGAGGAGTAAGCGAGGAGGAAGACCCATGGCTGTCTGGAATCCAGCATGCTTCCCCAGCATAGAAGGTACTGTGCTCAATGGTACTTTTGTTGAACACATTAGAGGCAGACATGCTGGGACATCCTCAGTCGTGTGAAGTCAAAGAAGCGTTTGCTGCAGGATTTGGCTTGACAAGCTTTGAAACATTCCCCAGCTTTTCGGAGGTATTATTATATTCTCCACACTTAATGGATCCACTTTTTTATGCTGCCAAAATGTGGTATCTGGGAAAGACAAGATGGAAAGTTGCCTATGTTTACAGAATTCTAGTTACTGTATGTTTCTGTGATCTACACACACAAGTTAGGACCTGGGCTCAGTCAGGAGAGCAATTACCACTGACATATCACATTACTGAGCCACTAATTGGTATATGAAATGGGGTATCTAGGCATTCAGAGAACAAAGCATAAGTAGTACAAAATAGTGGCTAAGTATGTGACCTCAGATGCATTGTTGCCAACATATGAAATAGAACATTTATCCTTTGGATTTGTTGCGAGTATTAAATGGTATAATGCAAGTACAGCAGTACAGGTGCGGTATTCTAAAAATGTTACCTACCATCAGCATTACATGATGCTAGAATCCTGGGTTGAAAGTGGGAACAAGACATTAATCCAGACTTTATTTAAATGATTAGGAATATGAAAATATTTGAAATCATTTGATCAACTGATCTTTTAAAGATTTGAAATAACACTGGCTTATCCTTAAATTGCCTTCTTTAAAGAGTTCATTTCACATCAGGTCCCTAGCATAGTGTTTTGCATGTAGTATTGGTACAATAATTGTTTGTCAAATAAATGAATTTTAAAATGAATGAACAAATGTATTGTTATCCATCACATGGTATATGATTTGTTCTTTCATGAAAAAATTGTGTAGAAATTTATCTTTACCCTCCATTTGTCTGAGCATATATGAGAGCTGTAGAAAGATTTGAATACAAGTCCATGAATTTCTGGCCCTCATTTATATGAATATGTTCATTTCTAGCGATAATATGTTAGTCATAATAATAATATCTTACTATTGTAGGGTAACTCAACAGTTTTCAAAGCACTCTCACATAGACTTCATGGGAGAAGTAGATGGGGATCATTGTCATTATTTTACAGAAAATAAAAAATGTTCAACCAGATTGTAAATTAAATGAGTAAATGAAAGAAAGGGAAGAGTGTCCGCACATGACTAGCTCTCAATACATGTTTCTTGGATGGATGGAATACATCTTTCACCATAACAAAGCCAGTTATACACATTCTAAACCTACTGCTTTTTCTACTACATCAAAACAAAGAGATTAAAGAACTGTATCTTAGTGCTTGTATCTATTTCTAATTTTAACATCTTTTTATAAGTTTATGGCAAAATTATTTACCATATTTGAAAAGCAAGTTAATCCGTGCACAAATAATTATCAGTATCTACTAAGTATTAGATATTGGTGATATAAATGTGGAAAGGAAGAACTTCTTCAAGGAGTTCATATTCTATTTGGGAGTTGGAGAACACTGACGGGAAACACTACAACAGAAGCATAAATGTAACCTTTTCCATTATTGCTAATTTATGGAGAAGGTAAAATGGAATAATATGATAGAGTCTAGAATATAGGACATGGGGTTGGGGAAGATTAATGTTTTGCACAGTTAATTGAGAAGTCTTTTCT